GGCGGGGCGGGGCGGGGCGGGGCGGGGCGGGGCGGGGCGGGGCGGGGCGGGGCGGGGCGGGGCGGGGCGGGGCGGGGCGGGGCGGGGCGGGGCGGGGCGGGGCGGGGCGGGGCGGGGCGGGGCGGGGCGGGGCGGGGCGGGGCGGGGCGGGGCGGGGCGGGGCGGGGCGGGGCGGGGCGGGGCGGGGCGGGGCGGGGCGGGGCGGGGCGGGGCGGGGCGGGGCGGGGCGGGGCGGGGCGGGGCGGGGCGGGGCGGGGCGGGGCGGGGCGGGGCGGGGCGGGGCGGGGCGGGGCGGGGCGGGGCGGGGCGGGGCGGGGCGGGGCGGGGCGGGGCGGGGCGGGGCGGGGCGGGGCGGGGCGGGGCGGGGCGGGGCGGGGCGGGGCGGGGCGGGGCGGGGCGGGGCGGGGCGGGGCGGGGCGGGGCGGGGCGGGGCGGGGCGGGGCGGGGCGGGGCGGGGCGGGGCGGGGCGGGGCGGGGCGGGGCGGGGCGGGGCGGGGCGGGGCGGGGCGGGGCGGGGCGGGGCGGGGCGGGGCGGGGCGGGGCGGGGCGGGGCGGGGCGGGGCGGGGCGGGGCGGGGCGGGGCGGGGCGGGGCGGGGCGGGGCGGGGCGGGGCGGGGCGGGGCGGGGCGGGGCGGGGCGGGGCGGGGCGGGGCGGGGCGGGGCGGGGCGGGGCGGGGCGGGGCGGGGCGGGGCGGGGCGGGGCGGGGCGGGGCGGGGCGGGGCGGGGCGGGGCGGGGCGGGGCGGGGCGGGGCGGGGCGGGGCGGGGCGGGGCGGGGCGGGGCGGGGCGGGGCGGGGCGGGGCGGGGCGGGGCGGGGCGGGGCGGGGCGGGGCGGGGCGGGGCGGGGCGGGGCGGGGCGGGGCGGGGCGGGGCGGGGCGGGGCGGGGCGGGGCGGGGCGGGGCGGGGCGGGGCGGGGCGGGGCGGGGCGGGGCGGGGCGGGGCGGGGCGGGGCGGGGCGGGGCGGGGCGGGGCGGGGCGGGGCGGGGCGGGGCGGGGCGGGGCGGGGCGGGGCGGGGCGGGGCGGGGCGGGGCGGGGCGGGGCGGGGCGGGGCGGGGCGGGGCGGGGCGGGGCGGGGCGGGGCGGGGCGGGGCGGGGCGGGGCGGGGCGGGGCGGGGCGGGGCGGGGCGGGGCGGGGCGGGGCGGGGCGGGGCGGGGCGGGGCGGGGCGGGGCGGGGCGGGGCGGGGCGGGGCGGGGCGGGGCGGGGCGGGGCGGGGCGGGGCGGGGCGGGGCGGGGCGGGGCGGGGCGGGGCGGGGCGGGGCGGGGCGGGGCGGGGCGGGGCGGGGCGGGGCGGGGCGGGGCGGGGCGGGGCGGGGCGGGGCGGGGCGGGGCGGGGCGGGGCGGGGCGGGGCGGGGCGGGGCGGGGCGGGGCGGGGCGGGGCGGGGCGGGGCGGGGCGGGGCGGGGCGGGGCGGGGCGGGGCGGGGCGGGGCGGGGCGGGGCGGGGCGGGGCGGGGCGGGGCGGGGCGGGGCGGGGCGGGGCGGGGCGGGGCGGGGCGGGGCGGGGCGGGGCGGGGCGGGGCGGGGCGGGGCGGGGCGGGGCGGGGCGGGGCGGGGCGGGGCGGGGCGGGGCGGGGCGGGGCGGGGCGGGGCGGGGCGGGGCGGGGCGGGGCGGGGCGGGGCGGGGCGGGGCGGGGCGGGGCGGGGCGGGGCGGGGCGGGGCGGGGCGGGGCGGGGCGGGGCGGGGCGGGGCGGGGCGGGGCGGGGCGGGGCGGGGCGGGGCGGGGCGGGGCGGGGCGGGGCGGGGCGGGGCGGGGCGGGGCGGGGCGGGGCGGGGCGGGGCGGGGCGGGGCGGGGCGGGGCGGGGCGGGGCGGGGCGGGGCGGGGCGGGGCGGGGCGGGGCGGGGCGGGGCGGGGCGGGGCGGGGCGGGGCGGGGCGGGGCGGGGCGGGGCGGGGCGGGGCGGGGCGGGGCGGGGCGGGGCGGGGCGGGGCGGGGCGGGGCGGGGCGGGGCGGGGCGGGGCGGGGCGGGGCGGGGCGGGGCGGGGCGGGGCGGGGCGGGGCGGGGCGGGGCGGGGCGGGGCGGGGCGGGGCGGGGCGGGGCGGGGCGGGGCGGGGCGGGGCGGGGCGGGGCGGGGCGGGGCGGGGCGGGGCGGGGCGGGGCGGGGCGGGGCGGGGCGGGGCGGGGCGGGGCGGGGCGGGGCGGGGCGGGGCGGGGCGGGGCGGGGCGGGGCGGGGCGGGGCGGGGCGGGGCGGGGCGGGGCGGGGCGGGGCGGGGCGGGGCGGGGCGGGGCGGGGCGGGGCGGGGCGGGGCGGGGCGGGGCGGGGGGCGACATGTCCCCTGCGCTGCAGCCAGAGAGGCCAAGCGGCCAAGCCCATTCCGCTCTCAAACAGAAAGGGATTTGTCAAAGGCTAATTTGAACGGTCTGCCGGGCTCACCCTCCCCCCTGCGCCATCCCAAGAGGGATGACACTACCGTCGGTGTGCCGGCGCCAGAGTCGAGTTCTTTTGCGCACAATCCCACTGGATTTCGTACAAAATTGCTTTGACCGGCAGCGCGCGGGGAGCGGGGAGGGGTAGGGGGAGGGGAATTGGGGGAGAATCGGTCCCCTGTGAGTGGCCTCCTAGCACGACCCCACCCGCCGGGGACAAGAGGGGGCCATCCGGCAAAACCGCTCACCCCCGGCAGATCATGTTTCTTACAAAAATAAGACAAAACAAAAACCAATATTTCGTTTTTAATCAAAGTTTGCAGTGTGATACGTCTGATATTCTGACAATGGCTCCCGTACCAGCGCTCAAAAACGAAGGGACATACTTTGTACCATGGGGTATTTTTGCAATCACGGTTGTGGGTCAAGAATCTTTCACAGTTAAAGTCTTACGAAGCAAAATGCCAAATGCTTCGTACCTACGAAGGATTTGCTCCCTACGAAGCGTCCAAATCCTTCGTATTACAAAGCATTTGGCATTTTTCTTCGTAAGACTTTAACAGTGTTCAAAAAATTATTTCGTCTTTCTGCTGGCCATACTTAGAACGTCCTGGAGCGCAACGCTCGTAAGCTAGCTAGGGGAAGTGTAAAAAAATAATAATACAAAAACAAGCACAACAGAAATTAAAAAAAGTTTTGAAAGACGAGAGAGTTGAAGTCTTTAGTATAAAAATCACGGTCGTTTTAATCGTGACGTGTGCACGCGTACGTAATTCGCCATGGCGCTGCGGGCCGGGGCTGAGGCCGGGGCTGAGGCCGGGGCACTCGGTGCAACAAGTACCAACGGACCGTCATTAGCCGAACGAGTAGGCGATATTTCTCCGCGGCACCTCGCCCCGCCCCAGCTTGAGTAACCCGAGGTACTCTTATCACACAACTGCTTCTTAAAACCGGCCGTCCGTATATAACTTGAAAAGAACGTATAATCATGTTCCTTACATATGACGTAACCGTAGAAGTTTTGAAAGTTTTCATGCAAGTTGAAAATTTTTACAAAATAATCTGACCGGCCGAGTTTGAATTGCGACTGGGCTTTCAATCTGTGGATGCATCTCCTCTTTACACCACCTTTTATAGAATTAATAGGTAAGTTGTCGCAGAAATAGATTAAAATTTATGGAAACCGTAAAAGTTATTTACCTCAAAGATTTAAGAACGTTAAAGTTATGATCCCCCACCCCCTTCCTCACGTACACATACAAACAAAATAACGCCGGAACTTTAATTTCTAAAAAACTTCAATTTACTATGCTAAGGAACCATTTTAGCACCCAAAACGATACGACGTATTACGGCGTGTATATTGGCTGAGTATTTTGGTGACCAAAGGTTGTATCACCCACCGATCAAATCGATATTTCCTCTATAGTTTTTTTATGCATCTAGATTCTGCTGAGGTGGCTAAGAGTGAGCAGCCGAGAAGCTTTCAGAACAGAGAAGCAGGTGGCCGCATTACCAGTGGTCGAGGCAACTACAGCAAGGAGTGTCGTGTGTCCGACAGTCCTTGTCGCTGCAGAGAAGAGGGGGATGGGGGCCGGGG